CGTGGGGTCACATGAAGAGTGACTTCCCGTGAAATGCTGCATCCATAGGGCCACACAAAGAGTGACTTGCCTTCCTGTGAGATGTTGTGTCCATGAGGTCACATGAAGACTTCTGATGAGATGTGTCCGTGGGGCCACATGATGTTCTATTTGAACAAGATTGGCCACTCTATAGCATCTCAGAAAGCCCAACCTCTTGGAGACCTGCAGGCCCTCTGTTCCCACATGCCATCCCCAATCTCACTTTGCCCTGTTCCACCAGTATTTGCAATATTTCTCTCTTCCATCCACCAAAAACCAGTGGGAGCTTCCATGTTCATTTTGATGGTAGAAGCAGTCATGGTCAGGGCCTCAGTTGGATTCTTGTGCTGAAGGAGCAGCAAATGTTGTGTCCTGACTTCTGTGGCCCCAAATGGTGGAGCTGGGGGCCCTGATGTGGGCTCCTGCCTTAGGGAATGTGTAATTCTGGGCAGTCAGCTTTGGCTGCTGGGTGGTGAGAACAAGTTGTTTTGGGGACTGACTCTGCCATTCCTACTGCTTTATACCATGGGCAGGGAGAATGAAGCAGAGAGAGAAGGGCAGAGACAGCTTGTGTGGCTTTAGAGAGAGGAGTGCCTGAGTCAGAAACAGGGTGGTGTGTGACATTTCCCAGCCCCTCAGAGTCCAGGCACTGTGAGATGTCCTGATAGATGGCAAGGGGGTTCAACAATCCATGAATGTGGTAAAGAATTCAAAAGTAGGAAAGGAAATGAATGAAAAATGAGGCTTGTCACCTGAGGCCCCTCCTTGGAGACCACAGTAGATGCTTTCTTGTGTATCCTTCTAAAGACATAAATTGAGAGGAGGAGGAGGAGGGGGCTATTTCTGGACACATAGGGTATAATATTTTGTGTTCTCCTTTGTTCTCTTTACCATATGTTCTGGAGGCCATTCCGTGTGTGCTCATGTGTCTGCCTCCTTCTTTTTAGTGGCCTCAATCAGTTGTATGGACCTATGAACAGACATAAAGATCGATATTAACAAGTGTTTCATAGTATAAATGCTGCAATATAACATATTTGTGTCATTTTG